GATATCACTCTGAGCTTATTTCGATTTGGGTCGACCCTATTCCGAATTGGGTCAGATTTCGATTTGGGTCAGAACATATGATTTGGACTATTGAATACGTTAACGATGACTTAGCCAGACATTGTTATTGGCATATCATGCTTTGTGATAAATACAGTTATGAATTGATCGTACAACCAAACAGTTATGCTATATGTGAATTTTCTCGAACAATTTATGGTCCCAAACATATAACTTAAGAAATCGATTCTTCTTCTGATGAGGATTAAAATAACAAGTCTTAGCGGTAGTTTTAGTTCAAAGATTTAACGCTAGCGCAAATATAACTTGTGACCTGACAGGCCCTTAACACAAACCTTATTCTATATAACATCCACAATCTTATTTTATTTGGCAAAAGCAAATGAGCGCACGTCAACTTACCCACCCCCATCGCTTACCAAATCCATCGAGTATGGTAAGCTGAATAGCATCCAATAAACGCCAAAAATGTTCACGAGTATTGGTAATTGGTATGTGCGAGAGTCTGGCAAAGCCAAATGCTTAATTTAGAAACTCTCGTATGTAACAATGATGCAGTAACACATGCAACCTTATTGTTTTATTTGACGATCCCTTCCAATATAAGGATACAGCACGTAAATATATAATGTAAATAAATAATGCCAACCTGAAGCGATCGCTTTAGTATAGGTTTTGCGATGACCTTATTAACTGTGATAGTCTCACCCTATGCTCCGGAAGTGTTCCTTCTCAGTGCAGTCTTCTTGTTAACTATTTATTGGATCCATCGTCGTCCCAAGCTTGTGAGTATCATTTCTTTAAAGCTCGAACTTGAAACAACGTGTACTAAATTTTTGTCCCACAGAATGAACCTCCACTCGTACCTTGCGAGTATCCATTAATCAGGCATTCTTTCGAGTTTTTACAAAATTCTCATAAATTTGTCAAACAATGTCATGAACAGGTATTATGACAATGATATATAGCAACTTGCTTTTTGCAATTTCTAACCATTTTGATTTGTAGTATGGAGATATATTTTCTTTCTACTCGTATCGTCAAGTCTATACCGTTGTCAGCAATAGTCTAGCTTATGAACTGTTTAGAACATCTGATTTCAGTTCCAGGGATGGATTTGAAGAAGTGGGTGCATTGGTTTTAGTCATCGTTGTCAATTTTGTCATAATTATTGTCTTAACAATACTTTTGCCTATGTAATTTGATCAATCAGAAATTTCTACTTGGCTATCTCACCGGATCAAACCTATATCCCGACTACGTGGGTGGTTTGGCTAATTTAATTAAGGGCGATAGATTTGTCAGACATATAGAAAATTGTCAATCGCGCAGCTATCGCGAGCTACGATGCGGTATCGACCAGGTGTTTGGAGATTGTGAGGAGACTAAAGTAATCAACGATCCTGAGAAAAGTTTAAGATACATCCTTTCGCGAGCAGCAGCAAATATCTTTGTTGGTGAGGTAAGTGAGTAATATCATAAAGTACAATATAAATATATATATGTTGATGTGTTACACTTGTTAATACTCTTTTAGGAGTTGTGCAAAGATGACGAAATAGTGGAGACGTTCGCAACATTTGCTGCTGTCTTGGTGCAGGCTAGAAGTCTTTCTCAGCTTACACTTGCCATTCACCCTCGTCTTTATCGAGAATACTATAGGTAAGTCACTGGATACTGCGATAATGACTATATAATATTAATATTAATAGTTTAATTCATTTAAACTCATATTTTCTTATGACTATAGACTTGCTCTTAATTATGGTGGCAATCCAGTACAAAAGCATAAGGACCTTTTGATAAAGAAGTTAAAGCCCGTTTTTGAGAAACGGTATAGGGCCATGCAGCAGTTTGGCGATAAATGGAAGCCTCCTGTAAGTATTGTGATCGACACAAATTTATGCTGATCAGGCGTCTTTTATTCATCGCGGCACTTTGTACACACAGGATGATCTTATCCAGCAACTTGTTGACTATTCTCTTGAAACATTTGGTAAACTCCACTACGATTCTATCGCATGCCGTTTGTTAATACTCATATTTGCTTCCATTCATACTACGACTGGAGCTGTTACGGGTGTGCTTAATGGTTTGTATTCATAAAAAGTCACTTCCATATGATACAGTAAAACTGCGACAATATTTATGATTACATTCACTTAGAGTTTGCGGCAAGACCAGAGTATTGGAGGGAACTAAGAGAAGAGCAAGAAGCCATAGCAGGAGATGCTGATTCTGATTTGACTATGGATCAAATAAACAAAATGGAAAAACTGGATAGTTTTGTCAAAGAATCTTTTCGACTTAAAGGGAGTGTGCGTGAGTATCCTAGTGGAAACTTGCAACGATTTCTCTGTTAATAAATCTTTCTCTGATTATACTTTGTTATCTTTATATAGTGTTCGTTCCCCACCGTACAATGAGCAAGTCTTATACTTTCAGTAACGGATATCAAATTCCCGAAGGTACAGGTTTACGCTTCAATTCCGTCTGACACTCTGACACAGCTCAACCTTATCTATTATTTACTTTATTAGGGCGGCTGGTATATATGAATTTCATTCCTTACGAACATGATCCATCTCTACACGGCGATGAGCCAGAAAAATTCTCTGCGTTTCGACACGTCAACAAATCTCCGTTTACTAAAGTCGGTAGGAATTCGATGACATTTGGATTAGGAAAACACGCGTGTCCTGGTCGATGGTTTGCTAGTAGGCATATCAAAATGATACTTTCCATACTTATTAGAAAGTATGACGTTAGCATTGTAGATGAAAAGCTACCAAAGTATTTGGTAATACGTGGCATTAATGTTGCTGCCTCTATACCTTTAGCATTTAAAGAAAGGAATAATGGTAGGAGTCACTTGTTTTGAATACAATAAACCCAACAGATAGTGTTGTATAGTACAGAAAATTGATAACATATACTTGTTGAGCTATATAACATACTATTTATTATTCACATGTCAAAGTTTGGCAACTGAATTATATATAATTCAGCCCGTAACATCAATCGTACGTGCTGGATCTTTGATTGGTATTCGTCTGGTCACATGATATAGGATTAATACATGCCGAAACATATTGTGGTCACCCAATCGTTTTGGATTTCCATCAATGCTTACGTCTTAGCTATCACGCATTGTCGCTTGGCCCCACTTAAAATGAATCTTCTATCGTCTCAAGGACCTCCTCCCAAGTCTCTGATCCAAATATATGTAGGTAGGTTCAATAGCCTGGTCGTGTGCTTTGCTGAATGCGAATAAACATCCAATTAAACGTACACAGTTCACTGACCGCTAACTACGTTTTCTCTATCAGAAAGAGCATGTCATCCGGCCCTCTATGAACCTAACTTGGCCTTGGATTTAGAAATTGCAGATGTGATCAATCAGAAGAAACAGAATTAGTATGAACAGACACAGTCGTTGTATGATTTGTGTGGTAAATTTAGTTCTAATCTCAAATCAACACTGTTTTTGGTTTGATCCCCCCCTCCCCCACCTCCACCAGTCCACGGGAGGCGGCTATGCATATTGTCAAAATGATTAATCATCGCAACCCCAATGTGGCCATGTTGGCATTGACGGTATTTTAAATTCAGCGGTGTAAATGTTGCTTCTTTTTTCCAAACATCGATCACCCATACATTCCTAATTTTTTATTATGCAACAGTTATTGGATATCTGTGTAAAAAATTGCGGCTATCCATTCCATATGCAAATAGCAACAAAAGAGTTTCTCAATGAACTCGTTCGGAAGTTTCCAGACAAGCCTCCGGTTAGTCCAAGAATAAAAGGTGGTGTGTTGATTTTGAAATTGTTCACTAACTTTTATTGGTAATTTGTGATGAATTGCAATGTATCTTAGATTTTTCCAAATCCCATTCAGATGAAAATTCTTGAACTTATTCAAGCATGGAAGTCTACTTTATGCGTCACATCACGATACAAGGAAGACTTACTACATATTAGCGACATGCATCGACTACTTACTTACAAGGGTAAAGAATGTACAGCCATGTTAAAAGCCATGGGACGCGCAATTGATCTATGTTGATACCACGTTCACAGGTTATCGATTTCCGGAAGTGGATACAAAATCGGCGTCTGTTTTGAACCCTGCTGAAGTGAGTATTTGAATGAGAACCAAGTGTAAAAAACAGTTAAGTGACCGATGCTGGATTTTAAACAACAGGAGGAAAAAAATAGAATAAATTACCCATAATTACAGTATTATTAAATATTTTTCGTACGATTAGTTTGTTGGTTTCTTTTCGCTTGCATTTTTGTATCTGTTCTATAGTAGTCTTACGATTTTCTTGCCGATTTGAATACAGGTCTTAAAATCACCCGAAGAGCTAGAGGAAGAAGACAGGGCAGCACAAGCAGCGGTAAAGACTAATAAAACGAGCAAAGTGTGTCTCTGTAAGAGTCTGTGATCGTTTACATCTCTACCATTGAATACCATAGAAATTGCAAGAATTGATCCGTAGAGGGTCTCCTGCTGATCTTGCAGAAGCAAACGAACTTATGAAGATAATGGCAGGATATGTATGCATTTGTGGTTTATAGCGTGACAATTTATTACTATAAAGGAATGGGATGATCGCTCGAACTATTTTTCTAATGATAACCGCTGTGATATTTACCATGCTTTATGTGACAGGACCCGGATGCCAAACCTGATTACAAGAAACAGGCTTTCGAAGAATTGGAACGCATACGACGAAAGACTACGCTGTTAAATGATATGCTTGATGGAGTTAAGGAGGGGGAAAAGATCGGAGACAATGATGTATTTCACGTAAGAATCCAATTCAGGCATCCTTGGGGCAAATATTGGTGGTTTGGTCTAGGCCTATCTGATGTAACGTAATTTGACAGGAATTAATGACCTCGTGCAAGGGTGTCCAACCAAAAATTCAAAAGTTAATTACCGAGGAAGAGGAATCGGACAGTATTGGTAAAGAAGTGTGCCAACTATATATTACGCAGAATATCGGTATAAAATACTAATGCAGCGCGACTCTATGACATGTTTAGAGAAGTTACTGTCATTGAACGATCTTATCAATAATGTGCTAAAACGATACGACAATATATCAAATGGCATCTTCACCCCAGTCGAGCAGGTAGAACCAGCGCCGGATAAAGCAGAGTAAGATAATAATGTTGATATCTAAGCATACAGTTATCTTATTGTGTTACTTCGAGCCCATGTGACTGATGAATTAATCTTGTTCGCTGACCGGGAATATTTAATAGATCTGCAAACCAGGCTCCTCTCTTGATCGATTTCAGTAGTACAGGCTCTGCACCATCTCAGAATGTCCAATCCACAATGTCATCTTCTGCTGTACCGGACTTGGTGTCTTCACTAAATGAATTGACACAACCGTTGTCAGAGTCAATGCACAGTTCTCAAATGTGGTCGTCGTGGGGGTCAATGCAGCCACCTGCCCAGTCGCAGCAGCTATGGCAAAAGCCGACTGGTGTGTTACAACCCCAAAGCACAGAGCTGCACCAGACGCAACAACCAGTGAGGTTTGTTATCTGTTCAAAATGCGGATTATGTTGTCTGTACTCTGTTACGCTGCGTTGACCTAATTGATTACGTAATACCAAGTTCGTCGTCAGTTGATTCGTGGCTTCTCGAACTGGAAAATAATCCTCCGCGTGGTGCAATTCAGCTGCCATCATCTTCGTCCACCAGTAGTAATAATAATAATAACGCCCAGAGAACTTCTAATAAAGGTGAGTCATTGGTAAATGTATTACTGGTCGTCTAATTGTTCATTTTTTTACAAAGACAAATATACTTTCTGTAGCGAACGTAATCGATGATTTACTTGGATTATGAATTTGATCGAGGAAAGTGTGACGGAAATATTACTTTACCAATAAAAACTGGTTGGGTAATCGGTTTTAGCTACATTTATATTACATTCTCCATTCTCCATGCTTGGGAACATTGACCATCCACATCACTCGCACCTTATTTGATCGTAAAAAATTTAAATTACTTACTTGTACCACTTCTCCCTTTGATGTCCGTGCTGACATAACACATTAATAAACTCCCTTGTTACACGTATCGGAAATGAGTTTAGGTAATCACGTGTCAAAATAAAATGAGTCGAATTGTTATGCTAACGTTATTAGTTGGCCATATAAAATCCAAAAGAAGTACATTGTGGAGAACAAACAAGGTAAAAAACCATCTTGTTGGATGCAACAAGAAAATCTATTAAACAATTCTTGCGTAATATTATATAATACACGACGCTACCAGCCACACATACACACAATTAGCAATATATGTTCTCTAGTACATAAAACGTATGGTAATTAGCATCACATATAAATATCTTCTGAGAATTAGCAGAATTCACAGTAACGACTCACTCTCGGTACTTTTGACTCTACCTGCTCTTTACACTTTTATCTACTATTTAAACCCTTGTTTTTTCTTCAATATTAATATATCATTATATCATATCACACTACTGTACCATCAATTATTCATCGATAAACAAAATGGGAAATAACGTTAGCTCAACGATTTCAGCAAAAGCGCGAAGGAGAAGATTCAAGTTGTCCAGCAGGTCAAGCGCAGCATCCTTATCAACTACAACATCCTTATCAACCACATTATCTTCGGATACGAAAACAAGTTCGGGGAAAGGTTCAGTCACATCTGACGGATACAACGATGGAATCTCCAAAGTGCTCGATGCAGACAATGAGAAATTGTTGGACTATTTTCATATAATGCATTATATGCTTAAAAATTCATGGAATGTCAGTAAGAGAGGGGGAAGCGAAGAAAGAACAGATGTAAGGAGTGATAAACAGTGGGTTTACAGATCACCGTAATGATAGTCATCGGTTTGTATGTAATGGAGAACGCGTCCACTCGTACTAATGTCGATACTATGGTTATTGATATATATATAGGGAAATTTTTCCGCACCGCTACAGGAAGAGTTGAAATCGGGAATAACTGTTTTAGATGTTGGGTAGGGGCAAATTTTAATAATTGTGCATCTAATTTTTAATAAAACGTTCTAAATACAAACTAGTTTCGGTCACATACGCCATAATTGTGCAGCTGTGGGCCAGGTGAGTTATTATTATACACCATGTTCTCATTCGTTCGCTTTTTTGCGGATCAGACGGAAATGAATTTAAACCCCCCTTCGTAATACTAGGAACATGGATACTCGATATGGCTAGCACATTCATGAGATCAAATTTTATCGGAATCGACATATCACCAGCTTATCCCACACAAATCAAACCGGCAAACACGGAATTTTTAACATGCGACGTGCTCGAGGGACTCCCGTTCGAAGACGACTTTTTTGATTTTGTCTATCTAAGATTTTTGAATAAAGCATTTACCAGAGAGGAATGGGACACTACGTTGCTAAACGAGTTGTTGAGGGTAACAAAACCCGGTGGATGGATTGAAACAATGGAACAGGGAGTAGAGGTAATAGATCCAACACCTACTCTGGCCATCACGTGGAAAGCAGGTAAGGCAAAATTTATTATTACAAAGTGAATGGAAAACGACTATTTAGCATGCGATTGACATGTGCGTATATCTCACGTAGGCAGGCAATTACTAGAAGATAGAGGCGTGTTTGTTGGTCTCGCCTATGAATTAGAACACTTGTTAAATGCTCATCCACAAACTTCAAAAGCCGTAATGGAGGAAATAGAACATAAGGTTGGCCCATGGGGAGGCAAAGACGGAGAAATCTGGGCTAGTCATCTGATTCAGTCATTAGAAGCTGCAAGCCCATCGATAATAGACCATTTAAAATGGACGTCAGAAGAATATCAAGTGTTCTGGAAAGATTACGTAAAGCAATTAAATGATCCCAAGTGTAGAACCAAAACTACTACTTATAGAGTTTTCTGTCAAAAGCGTAATTATGATGAAAAGGCATAGCATAACATCCGGTATCTGGTACTCTAACTTTTTCCGATTAGAGCTGGAATTCACGATTAGTGCATTTGTCAGTTGCGTTGTATAAATAGTCAGAGGAAATATTCACTGTAGTGATTGGTTGATTTGATTCGGCTGGGTCAGGGATCTTTTTCTGCCATTCAAGCCCGCAGGAGCGGAAAATAAATTCTTTTCCTGTGGTCATCAGGTTCATAAATTACGACAATCATAGACAATACTAATACTCGAACCCATTATGACTAATTTAGTTTAGTTCTTTGCACGATATTTAAGCCTTGTTGGCTATTCGATGATTGTACGATATATAGCTATTTACAGTATCTTAGAATCACACTTTACACATGAAAGCTGTCATCACATTCTATTTTTAATCAACGACTTATATACGATAAAGACTGTGGTTTACAGTGAATTGACAAAATGTCATTCCTGTACAATAAATGAAAAGAATTTTGCTACCCTGATTAGAAGAATTTCCGCAAATTGGACATGATGCTGAACGTGTTAATTAAAACAAGAAATGATACTATACTTAATCCAATCGATCACCGATGATGTTAGTTAAAACGCGAGTTGATACTGTATCGACATCAGTTATCCATAATAAGACACTTTGTATGTCGTATTAAAATTATAAAGCGAATAGGGATAAAATGAGTTGAAAGTATTTAGACTCTGTTCGAATAATCAGTTCTATGAGTTGCAGCTGTAAATTTCCTACATAAGCTCTCTCGTTATTTAATTATTTTTTCCGTCTAAGAGCAAACTCACAACGCTTATCTTGATACATTTCCTACATTTCCATTACCATTCTTACGATTGGATCGGAAATCTTAACAAGCAGAATAGAATATACTTTTGTTAACATATTTTCTCTCGCCAGGGCATTATAACGACCGAGAAGGTCCATATATGCCAATGTTGGATTGATGAAAAACCTTTTACCCTTTATAACTCGAATACCGTAATTGATTTTAATCAGATGCAGTAGAATGTTCTCCCTTCTTGTATAGTGTTGTAAATCTACAAATGAAATGCGCAGAAAATAAATAGTATCATTAGATAGTTATAGTCCTTTCGCCATTTAATAAAATACACGCAATGCGCGGAAAGCGAAGCGTTATCCATCGACACAAGCTAGAATCATACTTTTTTTGTTGATTATGACACAAAAACTGAAATGAATATATCGAGTGTCGTTTACGATCCTCAGTTTCTCGGTTACTTGACAATGCCCATTTTTATGCGAGAAATACAACGTCAATGTGTATTACATTTGTGGACGTTCGCAATGGCTAACATTACTGTTACCCTTTCATCGTTAATATTAATGACTTGGAACGCCGATCAGTTGATATTCGGAACACAATGCTGCACTAACTCTAAATGCATACGTAACATAATAATATAATGGGACAGCCCAAATAAAGGAAAATAATCAGTATACTGACGTTCCCCACACTGTGGTGAATATGTTTACGGTACTGAACAACCTTTCCAACGTCTTGGTCTTAGTATCGTCAACACCATAAAAGTTATGCAAGCTACATCGTCAAGGGTGACTATATGTGATCTTATCAACTATAAACTTGATCTAGTATAGACGATTGTCCCATACTCACTTGATTTGTACAGTCGACGTCAGCACCATACAGTCGTCTTCTTGAAGAAGAGTCTGTTAGTGAAACTCCACATCCACATCATGACTCTGAGTTGCTTAACGAGTTGGAGCAAAGCTCAAAAGTTACCTTGTTTCTATGGTGGCTTGCCATAGTCATTAGTCTTGGTGGGTTTCTGTTTGGGTAAATATCTAATCTTATTGTTTGATGTTAATCATTTCACTTGATCAATAAAGGGTTAATGGATTCATGTTAAGATGTAATGAATAGACGGTTTACTGTATATTTCTTACGACGTTTTAGTTACTAATAAGCATTTTTTCTGTCATAGGTACGATACGGGGGTAATAAGCAGTGCAATGCTATTGATCGAAAAGGATTTTGTAATGACTGCTTTCGAAAAAGGAATGATTGTTGGAGGTAGAGTGTAGCCTCGCAATGTAATCAACCCCACTCGTCTTTCTATCCTTATACGTATGTACATCATATGATCTTTGATAGGAACGACAATAGGTGCATTTTTTGGCGGTCTCGGTGCTGGTAAGTTATTTGTAATCAGGAATTTATGCACAACAATCAAAAAACAAAATAAAGCAAACAGACAAACAATGGCTTATGTAATCGTCTGTATTATGACTTTAACTAGACATGACATGCTCTCCTTCTTTAGGATATATATCTGACACATCAGGACGTCGCTTTACCCTGGCCCTTGCATCCTTGATCTTCGTTCTAGGCGCTACTATTCTGGCTTTTTGCAATTCTTATGGAGGTCTTATGTTTGGAAGAATAATCGTGGGACTGGCGGTTGGATTAGCCTCAATGGTTGTCCCTATGTACATTAGCGAAATATCTCCCAGATATTCCCGCGGAAAACTAGTCACTGTTAACGTGATCATGATCACCGGTGGACAAGTCATAGCGTTAGTAAAATGTTTGGAAGGAAAAAGAGTCAGCTTCAAAGCGTATTGTTAAATAATAAATAACTTGTAAATCGATAACTGCAGGTATTTCGTCGGTGTTGCTTATGTTGACGCATCAGACGGTTGGAGGTGGATGTTTGGTCTATCAGCACTGCCAGCTATATTTCAACTAATTGGTATTATTTTTCTTTCGAAGCTGGCTTTTTTACAACCGTGTTCTCGATGTTGACTGGTTTTCTCCTTTACAGCGCTTCCATTTGTTCCCGAAAGTCCGAGATTTTTAGTGCGAAATGGGGCACCAGAAGGCGCAAAGGGTGTAGTAAGGCAAATATATCCGGGGGCTTCGGAAGCTTTTGTAAATGAAGGTAGAAATGACTATGAAGGACAGCAACTAATGATAACGTTGATCAAATGACTTTTACTTACAACGGCATTATATAATGCTTATAACAGAAATTGCCGTAATTCGCGAAACTTTGTCAGTGGATGCCGAAGGTTCATACAGAGATCTTATTCGTCACCCAAACCTCAAGCCATTGATTATTGCGTGCGGTTTACAAGCGATTCAACAACTGAGTGGATTTGATACTGCTATGTATTATGGGGTAAGCATCCATCGCTTCAGATAAATTGCAAAAATTTTTACGTTGAGATTACAGTTATGCCAACACATACTAGTTATAGATTCGTCAACTCACGTAAGGATGTTTTCCATGCTTAACAGGGTACCATTATGAAAATGACGGGTTTCGAGACCGCAAAAAGTGCTGTTATAGTATCTATTTCAGTTGCACTGACAAACTTTGCGATGACAGGTGTGGTAATGATATGTTTAAATTTAGAAGTATGATACAGTGCTAATGCAATTTATACTATTACATCTACAGTTGTCGCATTATACATTATCGATACAATCGGACGCCGCCAAATTCTTCTTTCTACGATGCTTTGTATGATTTTTGCGCTTTTGCTCCTTGGCTTTAGTTTCGTCGCTATAACAGGCTTAGTACCAAAACAACCAAGTTGTGCAGATTATGGATCGAGATGTGGTGCATGTCGACTAGATGAAAGTTGCACTTTCGATATACAACTTGGACTTTGCATAGACGCCGGCAGCATTCAGTCCATGGAAATACCGACGAGTTGCCCTGGCACGAGTCGATTAAGCAGTCTTTTGGCGATAGGGAGTTTGGTTTTCTATGTGGTAAGAGCACATGTATCGAACGTTTTATATACATCTGAAATTATTAATAAACTGGATACACGTTCGCTAATTCTATCGATTAGGCTTCTTACGCACTTGGCTTGGGACATGCACCATGGTTAATACAGAGTGAATTGTTTTCTTTAAATGTGCGCGGAAGAGCGAACGGTATTGCGACAGGTAAAAAAGAGTTGCATTTACAGAACTGCAGACAAACAAAAAACGAATTTGATCCTAATGTTTTGTTACCGTCTAGCAACAAACTGGATATGTAATCTTGCAGTTGCCGTGACGTTTTTGCCATTTACGGAGGCTATTACTGCGTCAGGTATTCTTTTTTTAATGATGAGTTTGTACACGTGCACAATATGATTTTGCTAAATACATGTTGTTTTCAGGAACTTTCTGGCTGTATGCCCTGATCATGTCGTTTGGCTGGATATTTGTATACAGACTAGTCCCAGAGACTAAAGGAAAAAGTCTAGAAGAGATCCAAGAACTATTCACGGAATCAGACGGATAAATTAGAAAATAAGTCAAGTATAAACATCATATTCCTCTCTGAAGAGAAACACTAATTCAGGCTGTATATGTACGTAGCCCTTTATTTGTTCCCATTTATCATATCATACACTTTGCAAGTTCATAATAAAATAAATAATATAATATATACAATTTCTGTCAGAGCTGCCAACCAACCCGTGGAATATTCATATATTGGCTTTATTGCACATAGTATTCTTGATTTTCAGACGACGATTCTTGTTTCGCTAGTAATCTTAGTTGGTTCTTCTTCCAAGCTTCACAGTCATATTTCATATGACCACTATGTCCACAGTAATAACAAAAGATGTGCTCTTCGAAAATGGCTTTTGACCCCTGAAGGAGGACATATTCTTCCCATTGATTTTCATAATGCCTATAAACAATCATTGAGGCCATCGCATCTTCAACCTAATAAACGGGGATGTTGAGTTTAAATAATAACTGGTGCCCGTTTGGTCTAATACATATACGGAATATCATTACCGAATCGTGTATGCCATCTTGAATCTGTATACCAAATACGAGGAAGGCGAGATTCTTCAATGACGGTGAGCTCCCATTCCACATTGCTCTAATTACAGGGTATAACGCAGTATCTCTTTTGAGTTCTTTTGGACAATATATTTTCAGGGACTGGAAGAGAAGAGAATAAGAATTATCAATGCATATCACCGGTACGCTTTTGTATCCGTAACACTATGGAAAGTTGCCTTACCTTAAAATCAAAATAGAGCGAGTGCCCAACGACAAATTTGCCCTTGATGGATAGTTTCACTTGGTTCTGCACGGTCTTAAAATCTGGAGCTGGGGGAGCCCGTTATGAAAAAATGTGAGGTAATCTGCCATATTGGAATTAAAAATATTGCATATATAACTCTATATTATTTTACCATCTTCTAAATCTTCTGGATGAACTCCACTAACAGCCGTTCTGTAATCTGTGACTGGTTTTCGCGGCTTTACGAATGTATCCAGAATTACCTTTCCACTGTAGTCAACAACGCTCACACGGGCTAATTCATTATCAAGTCCTCCTTCACCAGCTCCGACCATCTCGCAGTCTATGGCAACGCAATCCTTTCTGTAATCAAAAGTCAGAATTATCAGATTATAACGACAGACCCGATACGATGAAATTCAATAAGACCTTGGTTTGCGATTTTCATTTAGATGTTTAAACCATTTACTCGTGGTTTCAAAATGCGGGTATACGCGTTGAATCTTGGACGACCTATACAGGGTGTGAAGAGAAACAACAAAGAGTGTGGGTAAAAAGTAAAAGTAAATATACGGATAAACAGTAATGAAACGTATATCTCTTGGGATAATCACCTAGAGTTTCTTCCACCCTTTTAGAACGATAGAGTTGGTTAAAATATGTATTAAAAACAAAGCAATTATAATATCGAATATTACATACTCTTCTCATGACTTGATGTATGTGTGGGAAAAAAGTTTAAGAACGTTTGCGCTCTTTTATAAAGATAAGTAATATCATTAGGATCCATTGTGGCTATAATTGCGTTTGTTTGGGGAAAATAGAGTGTGTGGCAATTGTGTTACCCGATTGCGCAGGAATGCATTGTTTTACGACTAATCTTTGCTTTACAATCGGAGTTGCGTCATTATTACAGCATTATAAACAATTAAATGCATTGTGTTGTGTAACCTTATTAGGACACATATTAATACATTACATTGCTTTCATAAAACTACCGTAGAGCGCTGACTAAAATACCGCTCTATGTATAGTACTGCAGCAGTTTAGGCCGAAAAAATTGTAAAAGACCCGGGTATTATACAAATCAAATATTACGTTATCACGTGATGAGTATACAATACTAATATATGAATAGACGTATACTTTAAACATATTGTGTAGAGGCAAACTCTACAAGTCATTACAACATAACATTACGGTAAAACAACTGCGCTCGTAACCCGTAGTTCTGATACTTACAGTTTTAGTCCCGCGCTTATCTACTGTTGTCGTACTAGGAAGATCAAAAGTAACGGAGGTTTCATCAAGGTTTTGCAATATATTTCAAAGGATAATTGTGTTCACGTCTTCTGAATAGAATAAAACTTAGAAACTGCTGTTGTTTCTCGACAAGGTCTTCGGGCAGATTTTGCGTCGCCTAGTAGAAAGAGAGAAACGTGACATAAAAGCATCGACCCACTTATTACTGAATTTACCAGCGGAAACATCTCTCGATAGACATCATTCTGCAAGTAATGTGGCTTTTCGTACAATCATAAGTCGTGTAATTGGTCTGGATTTATCTCTGTTGTCTTTAATCCATGATGCGAGCTCTTCTTCTATTTCAGGATATTTTACCTTTCTGCCAGGATGCACCATTTCAACAAAAGGAGATGCTTTTATTAGTTTATCTTTTTCCTTATCCAGTCTCTCACTTGCTTTGGTTCTATGTCAAATCTGCTTGCTGTTTCTCGGATAGAATGATGACGATAATAATAATACATGACAATAAGTTTCTCCTCGCTGACCATTTTCTGCGAACTTGTTTAGTGATACGAAAACGTTTTGTAGGCCTGTTGGCGCGAACCATAGCATGTATCGAGAAAAAGAATATGAATCCGTGCATGCGTTGCATTGTCTTTATTTATATAGAACGTATTACCATGAGTGTACCAAAGTACCCACCGAGTAAAGTACTTTTCAAAAAAAAGTGAAATGTAAAATACCCGGTACTTTAGTCAGCGCTCTACGGTACTTATTGCTAACTTTAACACGACTTCTTATTTGGTTAACAGATTTGTTGTCTTTCCCATAACTAGAACAAAAATTTCTAAATTCTTTTTTAATATTAATTTTGAGAGTGTGTAAGTAGATTATTGAACTTGCTGTTTCTTCTTTTCTGACAATTGTTGGGGTTTTTGGAAAGAGTTTCGTTTTTTAGGTAAAGAAGGTAAAGGCTTTATTTTAGGTAAGGGGGGGGGGGGAAAGCACAAACGAATAAACAAAAAAAAAGCAAAAAAACAAAAAGTTGTTTGTTTTTTTTTCCCTTTTTTCTGGCTTTTGTGTAAAATTTTATATACTGTTTTTATACAGTAAAAAAAAAAACGCCACTATTAAATAAATAATATACTTTTCCGTTTAATTGACTAATTTTTAATTTTTGTTCTCCGTTTTCTAACTTAATATCCTCTATCTTTTGAATTTTAATTTCTTGTTTTCTGCTTTTAGAGTTTTATTTTCGTAAAGAACATTTTCTAAAAATACTGAAACAAATTTCCTTATTTTTTGACTCCATAAACAAAAATTTTTTTCTAAATTCTTAAATAACTTATCTTGCTTTATTCATGTTAAGCAAGTTAGTTGTCGTTCTCGTCATTCTTTCGTTTTTTGAACGACTTTTCCAGCTTCCTCTTGCTCTATTTCCACTCTTTTCTCTAAATTTTTTATTACGTTATCTTTGTCTTCTAAGTTTGGTTATTTTTTTCAAGCAATTTATTTCTCTCTTGCTCTAAATTAGTGTTAATGACCGTAAACTTTTAACTTCTTTATTAGATTTTACTCACCAAGACATTGCATTGTGATGCAAATAAATAGGGCAAACAACCCTTTTTTTAAATACTTTGTCTCCTAAATACTGTAAATGTTGGGGGCGAAGTCAAAAATAATTTTTAGCTGTTCTTATATCTGCTTCACTTGGATTTAACCAATTAGTTTTTTTATTTTCTCTTCGGTTAAAATATTGTTTTAGTTTGTCATAATTTTAATTTCTATATTATATTTTAATAATTAAGAGATTAATTAAATAGTAATAGAAACAAACAAAAACTAATAAAGTAATAAAATTTGCGGTTGACTGAAATATTTTTATTCATATCAGCATAGGTTGGTTTAGGACAAGTAATATTCTTGAACTCGTCTCTAACAATGGGCGGATATTATGGTAAAGATATTCTTGCCTTTTATAATCCAAAGGAGAGTTAGAACTAAATAAAAAAATTTTTAATATTAATTTTTTGGTAATTTTGGAAACGCTTGCTTTCTGGTTTTCAATAAATTAAATTCAGTATACGAACAATTAGCAACCAGCTGAGCCTTGACAATACCAGGTTTGGCTTCTTCAAATACAAAAAATGCTGATATTTTTGTAAACCACTCAATTTTAAAAAAATTTCTAACACAGAATTAAGACCTAAATATTGAAAGCCGTTGCCGTTGTCATGGCGTTTAATCCCGCGGTACACGATTTTTTCACAACCTTAACGATATAATCTACACAATCCACTGTTGTCTTTCGGTAAAGTTCTTAATCAGTCCGAAACTACCATCACATTTGAATTTAGTATGTCCGGGTACCATGAAATTGAATTCAATACTTTCATAATAACTGCTGAATAAGGAGAGTTAACTTAGCCTGCTGCCAATTTTGGCTTAAATAAGGATAAGCAGGGGAATTAGTCATCAAATCAGTAGCAAATAATTCCTGACAAACTTCTGACTTAGTCAATTCAGCCAAGGGAAAAATTAACTTTGGAAAAGCAGTTCGCGGTATTTGACAAAAAAAAATAAGTTTGGTCTTGCCAAAGTAGCTGTGTGGCGTGGGCGTAGCCCCAATTTTCCCGTAACCAATATTTTTGTGGCGGTCTTTTTTTTCGCCACAAATTACCAAATACAAATGGTAGCATTATTTTTATTCTGACCACCCGCGTTACCACAAGTAATCTTTAGATGGTTTTCGCCTTTATTCAATCTTTCAATTTCAGCGAATATTATGCTCAGCGTACCATTAGGACCTTTTCCTATAATTTCGCCTTCATCGAGAACATAATTAATCTGTTTGCGTACGGCTTCATCTTGAATACCAATAAATGTACTTTACGCGGACTGAGATAATAAATTTGCCTGTTGATCAGAATGGGGAACGTGAACGTTTTTGCGCTCAATCGTAACTGCAATGCGCAGTAGCGTAATGCTACAATAAGCTTTACCTCTTGTTATAAAATGCTCATTTACTAATTTTCTCTGTTGTTCTACTAATTTAGCCTTAACTAGATGTTCTTTGAATTTTTCAATTAATATTTCGCTTCTTTCTTACGAAAATTATACTGTAAACCATTCCGAAAATGTTGGCACGTGTCGCATAAATCCGTTAGAGACTCATGATTTGAATATAATGCGTTAATTAATGCCATAACTTGCAACGTGACTATCCACCAGAAATCGAAAACTTGTGGAAGAACTTTAAATCTTATTTGACAATTGGACTCGAATTTCTCATTCAACAAAATGGCTATTGAAATCGGCGAATTACTCGGTAAAAGAAACGGTCTAGCTGTTTCTACGATTAAAACTACTATCTACGGAAAACAACCCCATGGAAAAAGACAGCCACATCATATCAGTCTCTCATTTATAAATGTTCACTTTGTCTGGTTTTGTTGCCATATAATAGGAAGTGGATGACCATTGAAATTGTACACTTGATATTCTCAACAACTTGGACATGCTTGTAGCTTGTAAATTGGCACATACTCTGCATTACAATAGAAAACCTCTCATATAACCTTTACCAATATAAAATTTAATGCATATCAATATAATAATAAAGGAGTTTCATATTAATATCATTGTTTTTGTTTAGTATGATAAGAACAAATGGGTTGTTATAATTATGACAAAAAGAACATTGAAGAATTGCAGGCTCTGAAATTAGTACTAGTAACTGGGTTTGTTGCAGCCCCCATATTAATATGAGTATTATAATTACAATTACTTGTTATTATTATTATTATATTACAGTCATACCTCATTTGTATCCCCCCCCTATTGTATCCCAACCTCGACTATATCCCAGGTTTTCAGCTGGACAGATTTCCCTTA